TTGCTCCCTTGGTCTCCCGGGAAGAGGTGAGCAGGCTGGGTGAAGTGAGAAGGGCCAAGTGGGTGGTTACGATCTGCTGCTGATCTGCTGTTCCAACATCTCAAACAAGCCAGCAGCCCCCTCCCAACCAAGATGCAGCCAGTAATGCAGGGGAGGAAGGCCAGAGAGAAGTTACCTGTTGAGGAATGAGGGTGGGGGTGGGGTGACACCTGAGGCATCTCAGGTGGAGGCAGCTGGCACATTTCTTGTGCCTGGGCACCACGCCAGCTTCCAGAAGCAATTCTGGCCTCTCAGCTGGAGGAATAATACCTGTGTTTCTCTCGCTCTGATCAGAGGTGATGGCTTCCTCCAGACTTCTCCTTAGGAGAAGGAGCTTTGGCTTTTGAGATTGGATAGGAAGGGGAGCAGGCACCTACCTTCCCTGGGGGGTGGGGGCAGAGGATTTGTTGCTGCTATTGTTCGGTTGTTAAGTCCTGTCTGACTCTGTGACCCCTTGGACTGCAGCACACCAGGCTTCCCTGTCCTGAACTTCCCAGGAGTTCGCTCAAATGCCTGTCCAGTGAGTCGGTGATACTAGAGGATTGGGCAGAGTCAATGAGGGTGGCTGGTGTCAGGCCATCTGCCCTCAGGCTCAACTCAGGTCTCAAGGATCTTTGTTTCCATTCACAAGCTGTATTCCTTCTCACCTCTCCACAGGACCCATGGAGTCCTGGATTAAGTGGAGGAAATCCTGGATTGAGGGGAGTGGGGCTTCAGATGAGCTCACAGCTATGAAGATGATCAGAAATGTTTAGGATCTGTCTCTAACAAGTGAGCCACACAAAAAACGCTACCTGAATCTGATTTAAACCCCTCACTATGGAGTGGCCTTCGTGATGTGGGAGGTCACCCTAGGGTAGTGACTGATGGATGCACTGTCCTGCTGACACGTTTGAAAGTATTCCCAATCTCTGGGGGCTAATTCCCAGAGTTGCCCCTCCCCAAACCCCCAAGCCCGTGGCTTATTGGAATCTAGTGTAAAGGCCAGAAAAACCTCCATGTGACAGATCAAGCATCTTTCCAGTCTTCATCCAGGAGATTATGCCCAGTTCCTCAACTCTGACATAAATAACTAGTCTTAAGCTTCAGTCACGTTCCTGCGCCCAGTTCTCTTCCTTTCCTTTAAGGTCATGAGAGTGCATCAGATGTTAGGCCTCATCCTCAGGCAGCCCACCGGGTTAGGAGATGGTGGTGGTGATATAAAAGGAAGCTGGGAGCTTTGGAGTCAGGCATGTCTGGATTTGAATTTCACCTTTGCTACTCTTAGATTAGGCAAGTGGTTATGCCTCTCTCTATGGGCTTCCCTTGTGGCTCAGCTGGTAAAGAATCCGCTTGCAATGCAGGAGACCTGGGTTTGATCCCTGGGTTGGGAAGATCCCCTGGAGAAGGGAAAGGCTACCCACTCCAGTATCCTGGCCTGGAGAATTCCATGAAATGTATAATCCATGGTGGTTGCAAAGAGTCAAATATGACTGAGCGACTTTCACTTATGCCTCTCTGAGCCTCAACTCCTTTCTCTCTGAAATGGGGCTGAGAACAGCCATTTTTGCAGGGTTGTTGAGATGCTTAAATTAGAGAATATGAATAAAGCATATTAGGTGTGTATGGGGGGCTTCCCCAGTGATTCAGCAGGTAAAGAATGCACCTGCAATGCAGGAGCCACAGAAGACACAGGTTTGATCCTTGGGTCAGGAAGATGTCCTGGAGGAGAGTATGGCAACTCACTCTAGTATTCTTGCCTGGAGTATCCCATGGACATAGGAATCTGGCAGGCTACAGTCCATGGAGTTGCAAAGAGTCGGACACGACTGAATTGACTTAGCATGCACACATATTAGGTGGGCACAGTATGGAGAAGAGAGGAGACCTTGTCTCGTGGGCGGGGTAACCTGAGGGGGAAGGGAGGGGCAGCACCCTGTGTGGTTGAGTTGGGGGCCTGGATGGAGGAGGAGCAGCAGCAGCATCAGTCCCTAGCCTCTGGGCTCTGAGAGGCTTGGGAGGTGGCGTCCACGCAGCTGAAGGGAAGCCATCCCTCCCCTTGCCGACCCTGCCTCTACACAGGGCTTGCTGCTTCCCATGCCCATCCTGGGCAGGCAGCCAAGCCGGGAGCTGGATGAGGGCCCACAGCACGCTCAAAGGCCAAAAGATGGGCACCGTCCAGTTGGCAGAGGGAGAGGCAGCTGGCCCAGGAGGGGAGAAGTCAGGGAGCCGACTGCTGGGGTCGTGTGCCCAGACGGTGTGTCCAGGACGCTCTTGGCTGCCCTCCTGAGCTGTCTGACTGGAGTCCCTCCTCTTCCTACCCTGGCTGGGCCACTTAAGTTACTGTAGCTGGAGAGAAATTTCTAAGGGGCATCAGGCAGTGTGCTTGGCTCAGGGCAGGCCTGGGGGCGGGAAGGAAAGTGGAAGAGAGAGTCTTGGATCAAGGCTGCAACTGGGTAGACCAGGAAGTGGGGAAACCGGTTTGCCATTTGGGCCACTTGGGGGTGGGGTCTCCTTTCCTGCCTCTCTGCCCCGCCTGCCACTCTGCCTGGTGGCCTACAGCAAAGAGAGGTACTGTGTCCCTTCCTTGCTCATCTAAGCTGGCTTTGGGAACGCCAGGAGAAAGCAAAAGGAGCAGGGGTCTTGGCCCACTTTCCCCTCCCCAAGAGAAGTTTGGGAGAGAGGGGACAGGACAGAGAACCGGAGGGAGAGAGGGAGCAAACAACCAGGACAGGAGGAGGGGACAGAGTCACCTGGAGAAGTCTGTGGAGCCAACAGGTAGGCTAAGGTGGGACAGGGAGGGGGTGGGAGTAAGGCAGGGGTGAGGTAGAGCTGAAGCTTTGCAGGCTTCTTGGAGGTGACCACGGTGTCGGCAAGTGAGGTGTGAGAAGGGGCAGGAGCTGGAGCGCCCTCTTTTGGAGTGCTACTTGGCCAATGGGCAGAGACTCCCCTCACTCACAGCGCCGGCCCCTGCAGTTTCAGCAGACGCCTGCAGGAGGGGCCGCAACCCGAGCCGGGGGGCGGGTGGGGAGGGGGGAGGAGACAGCCCAGCAGGGGGCGCCGGGGGACTGGGTCCCCTTGGCCCAGCCAGGTCTAAGGAGCGGACGAGGGGAGCGTCCCAGCAGAGGAGGGTCCAGACTCTCTCTGCATAGGGAGCTGTGGCTTTCGGAGGTCACCTTGGCTGAAGAGTAACCCCTGGTCCCTCCCTGCCCGTACCTCCCCCAATGTTTCTTCATCCCGCGGCGCGCCAGGGCTTGGAGAACAAGTTCCCACACCCTCGAGATGCAGCCCCCTCCTTCGGCTTTAGGCAATTGTCTCTATCATTGCTTGAGCATTGCTCAAGGTCTGAGAAGCAGGTGCAGCGGGGCGGGAGGCCTGAGCGCGCCCCGCACCCGCGGCCCGGCCGCGAGCCGCAGGATCCAGCCGTGCGACTGGAGGGCGGGAGGCGCCGGCCCCCTCCCCTCCCAGCTCCCCGCCACCCCAGAGGCCCTTTGTACGTTCCAGCCACACGCGCGTGCCCGCGCCGCGCGCGCTCCCGCCCGCAGTGACACACCCGCACCGGCCCCCGCGCGCGCGCACACACACACACATACACACTCGCTCTCGCACACTCGGTGACACGCCCGCGCGCGCGCGCGTACCCACACGCCCGGCCGCCGGCGCCCTCCCAGCTGGTCCACCCCGGCGGGGCTCGCGCCCCCGGCCCGCCCGCCTGGCACCGCGCCCCGGGGCTGGGGCCCAGCGAGGAGCCCGCGAGGCGGCGAGAGGGCAAGCGCCAGGCAGGCCGGCCCGGGGCCCCCGCCCCCCGCGCCCCCGCCCGATGGGGAACGCTCCGTCCCAAGGCATGTCCCTGTCTCTCTCCTTCCTAATGTGCCTCCATGCTTAAGTGGAAGGTATTTCTGTTTTCTTTGTGTGTTTTCCCCTCGGCCGGGGGCGGGGGCGGCGATCGGACCGGGGGGGCGGCGGCCGGAGGGGCAAGGGGTGCTCGGGTCGCAGGTGTGTGGGGGGCAGGGGACCGCGGCGCGCCGGGCTCGGGAGAAGGACCGGGCGAGAAGAGTGCTGGGTCCAGAGAAGGGGTCCGGCATTGGCGAGGCTGGAGACCGGGTGGGGAGGGCTTCGTGAGGCCCGGGGAAGGGAGCCCCGGAGAGGTGGGCTTTAATTTTAAAGAGGTTTGTGCGGGGCAGGGAAGGAAGGAGAGAAGAGAAAGGGGGATGGATGGTGAAGGGAGTGGGGGAGGGAGTGGTCCATCCGAGGTGGATGAAGAGGAGGATGCAGAGAGGCGAAGGGGATGGAGAGGTGGTGGGAGCATCAAGGGCCTCTCTTTCCCCCCAGGTCCCAGAATGGGGTGCACGCCCTTGGATGGTGGTGGTAGGCGCTTTGCGCCAGCCCCCCAGGGAAGGAAGGGGATGAATGTATTCTGGGATTGGCTGTGTTGCCAGGATACCAGCCTATGTTCCCGCCCCCTTCCCCTTTCCTTCCCCTCCACCCCCCGCCCCCCCCCCCCCCTCCCGTCACCTCGAGGCCCTAGCCCTGGAGACCTGGGAGCCTAGGTAGCAAGGTAGCAGTTGCAGAAACTGGGGACCCGCTCCCCTCTCGACTGGCGGGTTGGGAGGGGCCACGAGAGGGAAGGACTGGGGGAGGGGCCATGTGATCTTAAGCCCTCCGGGTGAAGAGGCCAGAGGGCGGGAGAGGGCGCCCCCAGCTGGGGAGAGCGTCTAGGGTGAGTGAGGAGGTAGGGACTGAGGGAAGCTGAGCGGCAGAAGGCGGGGCTGGGGAGGGGCCCCGCTAAGCCCCCCCTCCCCTCCCACGCACCCCCATGCTACGTCAGAAGCTCCTGGGCCAGCTCCGAGTTCTGTCGGTGGGGGCAGCAGGATGCTGGTGGAAGCAGAGGGGGCCGGCCGGGTGCCTCCGCAGCTCGGCTGGCAGGGCCCGGCGGGGCGTGTGCGGCTGCCGGTGCAAGCCCCCCCGCCCCACCCTTCCCCATGCAGCCCTGGCAGTGCCTCCGGCGCTTTGCCCTGGCCTGGTGGGAGAGGACAGCGGAGGGCAGAGCCCGATCTCCCAGGGAGGAGGCCGGACCGAGGGACCCCGGGGGCCGAGGGGAGCCAGGTGAGCAAGAACAGGGAATGTGCGAGGAGATCCCGGACTGGCAGCCCCTCTTCTCCAATACTAGGGAACCAGCAGGTCTTGTTGCCCCCAACTTGAAGGGAAGTGGGTTCCTGGCTGGAGCCTTGCAGAAGATGTTTGAACTCCTGTTGTTTTGGGAAGGGAAAAACAGATGAGGGCTGGGAGAGGGGATAGGTAACCAGACTTCCAGGCTTGTGAGTCTGAATATTCATTGGTGTTGAGTTTGAGCACTTGGGGGCGGGGATAGGATGCCTTCTTTCCAACTCTGAATATCTTGGTCTGGGTGACCTTGAGCCAACTGCTTTGCTGTCTAACTCCATGCCTCAGTTTCTCATATTCCCTTCCCTATCCCTCTTGCTGTCTTAAACAACTGATGAGGCGTTTGATGGAGACTGTCACTGTGAAAATGTGGGGCTCCGTCATCACTGGTGGCAGCTGTGGTGGTGGTTTCTGGCATGGTTGTGCGTGTGTACGAATGTGGGGGGCAGTTTATGGTTTATGTGTGAGGTCTTCTGCGGGTTGGGGCCACTGTGGGCAAGTGTCAGGGTCTGGCATTCATACAGGAAGGCAGGCTCCGGGCAAGCTGGGAGTTGTTGAGGCAGAGACTTAACTGGTGGCCTAGTGTAGAAGCAAGGGATAAGGCATAAGGGGTGGGGGTTCCAAGAATAAGATTCCCCCTCCATCCAGACTGCCTGGCACCCAGGCACCGTTGGCAGCGAGAGCAAAGGCTTTGCCCTGGCTTCCTGCCACCGTGCCTTGGGGACAAGAGGGTCTTTGTCCAGTGCCCCCCCACCCCAGCCCTGCTCCTTCCGTCCTCACCATAATGTCCAGTTCTCTGCGATGACCCTCAGGGCTGGGATGGAGATGCAAGTGTGCTCTGGAGATCTGTATGAAGCAGCTGTGGTCTTCAGGCAGTGCTGAGTGGAGACCAGGAGCCCTCCTAGGGGAAGGTCTCTGGGAATTGGGAGGCTTGCCCCCCTGCCCCTTGCTTTCTGCTTGCCTCCTTGTCTCCTTGCCTAATGAGGAAGGGATGGTGTCTGGGGTCTTCACGGCCTGATTCCTGTTGGGAATCCAGGGTTCCTAGTCTCTTAAATATGTACAAGGTACAGAGTTGGGTGCTGTGATGCAAAGCCTCAGGTGATCTCTCTTTCTCTCTCTCTGGCCAGGGACCCACCCTGGAAAAAAGGTTTAATTAGAAACATTGATTCCTTCTTTGGCTGTGGGTATCGATCTCACCGGTGCGGTCAGAGCTGGGGCTGATGGTGGCACGGCTGCCCAGTTCGAACAGGGAGGGGGCTGGGCTCTTGGAAGTATCACATCTGTTTTAGTCCCATCTCCACTCCAGGTTAGGTCTTGGGGAAGGAAAGGAGATGGACTTGAGGTTTTGACCTGAGGGAGCTGTGTTTGGAGTCCCAGGATCATCCCCGAGTTGTGGGCCAGGCTCGGGAAGGGAGGGGCTGCTCTGTTGGAAGAGAGACAGTGGGCCCTTGAGGGGGCAGGCAGAGAGTTCAGGGACAGATCTGGAGCTTGCCATGAAAGCTTTGCTTTCGAGGAATCCCAAGCACTTATCTCCTCCAACCCCTGGCAAGGAGATCTGATTTCTTCCTTCGTGTGTGTCTTGGAGGCCCAGAGAGGGACAGAGACTGCCTCCGAGGCCCAGTGGGGCTGCGTCTGGCCTCTGAGCCTAAGAGTCTGACCGAGCAGCCCCTGACTAGGCACAGGGGGCCGAGAGTGAGGCTTCGGCAGCCTCCCACTGGTCTCTGGGTTTGGTGGGAGGTGGTGGACAGGTTGTGCCCCCTAGGCCCTGGCTGCCTGTCATGGGTGGGCTGGTGCAGGTGCAGGCTTCAATGAGCCACTCAGATGCTCTTTGAAGAATCCCTTGCTGGCTTCCTAGGGCCCATTTGAGCAAAGATAATAAAAATCTGGCCGTCAGCGGGTTTGAGGGCTGCATTTGCTTCCCCTTCTTTCATTCCCAGCTCTGAAAAGCGGAGATGAAGGCTTTGGATTTGGCTGGGAAGCTGCGCTTGCCTGCCCCGAGGGAGGGAGGGGAGGAGAGCGGAGGGAGGCAGAGAAGGGAAGACCGATTTCCTGGCAGCCGGGGGATTTGCTGGGGAGGTGGGCAGAGGGGCAGGGACATGGTCCCGGACTCCCTCTGGCCTCGATGGGGCTCCCATGCCCCTCAGCCGGGCTCCAGCCTTATCCTTCAGGTCTGGAGACTGGGAGCCCCCCCCTCAGAGCCACTGTTCCTACATTCACCCATTCACCGCTCTGCTCCTCAGACTCCCTACTTTCTTCCCCAGTCCCCTCCACCCCTCCATCCCTCCCGCTCTGCCCTTCCAGCTCTCTCTCCTCTTTGTCTCCCTCACTGGACTCCTGAGTCTCCCCTTTTCTCCCCGTCTGCCCCCTCCGATCTGTCTGTCCGTCTTCTTTCCATAGCATCTGTCCTGCTTTCTAGGACCGACTGGAAGGCTGAGAAGCCAAGTTGGTTGGGGGGCTGGGGAGGAAGGGGAGCTGCAGCCACAGAAGGGATGGGCTTGAATGGAGTATTACGGTCTGTCAGGTGTCATAGTTACCAGAGGCCAGGCGGAAGGGGGCTGCTGAGCACTTAGAGATGTGTGTGTGGTGAGGGCGCTCTCCCCCTCCCCACACACAGCGGGCACCTTGCCCTGACATTGGGCTTTAGACATTCAAGTTCTCCTGCCACCTTCTACTGTTTGGCTGCCGGGAATCCAGTGCCTGGGCCTCTGGCCCCGTCTCGCCTCTGATCACCCACTGCCCCAGGCATCATTGCCGCCCTGGCCCAGGGTTCCCCCACACCCACTACTCAGGCTTAGATGGGGAAGGGAGGTGGCCAAGGGAACCCCGTACAGACCCTGGAACCCCTTCACCATCATGTAAGCCCCCCAGATGGAAAACAAGACTGTCATGGAAAGAGCACCGGGCTGAGTAAAGAGACCTTCTTAGGATCCTTCGTTAGCGCCCAAATGTCCGAGTGACCTTGAGCAAGTCCCTTCCTGGCAAGGGCCTCTTTCCTCACCTGTGAAATAAGGGGGCGGGCTGGCTCCTCTCCAAGGTCTCTTCTGTCATTCCACCGATGTTGTGTCTTTCTTCTGGGTTATTTGCATATGCTTTGCATACATTAATGGTGCCTGCTTGAAGGGGAAGGGTGCCGCCCACAGGGACCAGAGTCCAACCCACCACTCAAGACTCCCCTTGCCCATTGGCCCAGGCTGTCACTGAGGGAATCGGGAATCTCCCAGAGGGATGGAAGCCGGGGTGGGTGGGGGGCGTGGTGTGGGGGGGTGCTCTGAGAATTCCCTAGGGAGGTGGCTCCTGTGTTCCAACCCTGCTAGAGGCAGAATAGGGGGGTAGCCCTAGTGGAGGGGACCCCTATCCTTGTCAGTCCTGCTCCAGAAAGTCCAAACAGGAAAGCCAAGTGGGTGTGAATTCCCTGCAGTTGCTTGTGGCTACCACTGGTTGTATGAAACCCCAATGAGACGGGCAGAGGGGCTTGGGGGTCTCTGTCCTCTGTTCTCAGGGCCTAAGTACCCTCTACATGCCAGGAGCTTAGCTAGGTGTAAGAGTCCCTCCCTCTGGTTTCAGCTGCCTCCCACAGCCCAGGACAGGTCCTGCCATCTTATGCCCCTACTCACTTCTGCTCAGGCACCTGAGCTCTAGCTATATGTGGGTAGGAATTTGGACCTGAGAGATGGTCACTGAGACCAGGATCATTGCATGTCTGGGAGCTGCCCGGTCAGCACACTGCCTGACCTCGTGGGCCTCCTCCCCTGCCACCTGCTAGGTGCTGTGTTTGGTACAGGCCAGTGTCCTGTATCTCAACCCTCCACCTGCCTCAGTTTCTTTGACCCATCCCCTCATAATGCCCATCACATGGGGCAATACTGGGGTAAAGGTTGGCAGCTTGGGCAAGATAAGGTGGGCCACTGAGTAAGATGGATGTTTCTGAAGACAGGAGCAAAAATCACCTCTCCACCGCCACGGAGGACGGACCAGAGGAAATGCAGCAAGAGGGATCCAGGTTAGATTTAGTCTCAGGGAGGAACTGACCCAGCAGGCAAATTAGTTTCTGACTACAGAAATGTTGTGACGCTTAAGTGAAACAATGGATGAAAATGTCCAGCACAGCGCCTGTTACATAAGAAACAATAAATGGTATGGGGAGGGGATAGTTGTCTCTGAACGCAGTGGAGACCCTCCCCTAACCTGAGATGCAGGAGTTTGTAGGGAATGAGAAGCTGGAAGGACAATTCCAAGAAGAGCTATTTCTCCCACATTCAAGCTGCCACCGCAGTCCTTCTGCCCCTCGCTCAGCGCACTGGGCCCAGCCACCCTGGGACACTCTGCCCTCATCCTCTCTGCCGTAGGTGGGCAGACAGAGGGTTCGGAGGCTGGAAATCCTGTTTTTCTCCCCCTCCCCCTGTCTTTGCTCAGGACAGCTTGAGAGGAAACAGGCCCACGCTGCAGCAGGAGGAATTGAGGTTAGATGGGAAGGAAATCTCCCGGTGCATGAAGGGTGGCTGCTCTGAGATGTTGTTTGTGCATCTTTTCCCTCAATGATAGGTGTATATGAGCACAAGTAGGCTAGTGTTGTACCTAGGTGCAGGGGACTGGTTAATATGACCTTTGAGATGACCTTTGGGCTATTGTCAGGAGCTTGGTAGGTCCAGTTTAATCTCGTGTGGCTGTGGTGGTTGGCAGAGTGCAGGGGGCCATGATGGAGAGGGGTTCAGAGCTGCTAGGGAGGAGAAGGGACAGGGAAGTCAGTCTGATCCCCCAGGGCAGAGAGGTCAAGTGCAGGGTAAAGAGCAAGCATTGGATGGTGCCAGGTTGCCTGCCTGCCTACTGCTGTGTGACATTGGGCAAGTTAGTTGCCTCCTCTGGTCTTCAGCGTCCCTGGTGTGAGAAAGAGGATGGAACTAGAGAATCTAAGGTCCCTTCAAGCTGTCACAGGTTCTACCCAT